GCAGGTTACATGCCTTCGTTCTCTGAGAACTTAGTATGACAAACAGAGCTCAATATTAAGACAATAAAGAATTAATTGCATGACTGTATCTATAGTCTTAATATAATAGAGGATAATAGCTTATAATTGGGCAGAGAGAGTAGGCTGTCAGTTACATTTCCCTTAAAGATGTTATAGTACAAAAAAAAAAAAAAAAAAAGGAAAAAGGAAAAAAAAAAAATCATCATTCTAATCAAGGGAAGCAGCCTGGCCAAAAGCACAGAGACAAAGATAAAGTTTTCAGAGGACTGATAACCAGATCAAGCAAAATGAACTGTGGCACTGGAAGCCACATGGCTGACCATGGATTTGGATCCTCAGGTTGGTATGAAAAAGTGATAGATGCACACGTGTGCTCAAGATCCTGATGAGCTGGAGGGTTGTGGAAAGGAGATGATGGTATGGAAGACTCTGTCAAGGATGTCACTCTCTCTCTCTCTCATGTGTTATCATTAATAAAATTAAAATAAACTCTAAAAATCAAGCAATTTGGAGTTGAATCTGGAGATTTCTACCTAAGGAGCACAGGGAACCAAAATGCTATGATAGCTTGGTGTAATCAGATTATAACAGCCATGAATGTCAGACTTTTAAGAAGTTTGAACTAGACAGAATAACTGACATGCTACTTAATGTAAATGGATCTTAGATTCTTCCTTTATGACTTTTCTTAGGTTTCTGTTTTTTTGGTTGTTGTTCACTGTGTCTTGACTTTTATCGTGCCTGACCTATTATATTGCTTCGCAATGGATGTCTTCCTTTATAGCCTGTGCTGTAAAAATGTCACAAAATTAATTATCCTAAAATATAACTTTTATCCAAAGGGCTTTTGCTGCAAATAGTTTTGACAGTGTACACTCTGAACATTTTGGCCACAAATGTTGAGGCCTCCTTGTATTTAAATTTCAGCTGGCTTTATCTTTGATTATCCTTTCACTCAACTCTATTTTCTGATTAATGTTGTTTACCTGTTATGTTCTTAGCAAAAATCCCTGTTCTGTACCTTCTCACATAACATGTTCCCATCTGGGATGCACATTCTAGTCCAACCACCATGTGTGTCCATTCTGAAATTTCCTTAGCCTCAGTCTCATAGGTCTGCTCCATAAAAAAAAAGTAATTTCTTTATGCTCGGATTCCACAAACTTCAGCACGTATGTGGCATTTACAGTTCCTTATATTGAAGTTAGTGTTATATGTCTTATCTCTACATGACATAATTAATTTTCTTTGTAGTTCCTTAGAGTTTTAAGAGTGGAGAGTGTATGCAGAATACACTGATTATAACCTGAAGTAAATATATGTTGAAAGGTGAAGCTGATTATTAAAGTTAATTTCAATTTGTGTGCGTGCACACGCATGTGTGTGTGTCTATGTGTGCATGCTCGTAGGTTTTATTTTGCTATTTCTCAGTGAAAGGTTGGCATTTGAGCAGAATAATCTAATTTATAATAATGTATCCTAAATCTCTGTGTCCAAGTGGATTGCATAATGAACTCAGCAATTTCCTCTTCCTCTCCTTATAAAGGTAATTCATAGTATGACAAAATAATTAATGCAGATGAGGGTTTAGGAGACACAGGAATAAACGATTTCTACAAGGATTTCATCCCAATGCCAAACAGATTAAAATCCTGGCTCCAGTCATTCATAATAATCACATACAGCTGTAGATTTGTGAGTGGCGTGAGCAGGAAGATGTCTCTGTTCTTCAGCCCCAAACTACCTGCCCTCCCCTCCACAGACTTTGTAACCAACATCATTAAACGCAGACAAACTATATCCCTTGGCATTAACACTTAAAATGTCTTCCATCAACCTGGACAAATGTGAACTCTTATTCTTGCCTGCTGCATGACTTTGGGCAAACTTTTAAATATCTCTGTACTTCAGTTAACTCACAAGCAAAGGGGATAATGAATAACACTTCATGCTCATTTGTGAAGGATTAGCAGGAAGGGGTCTTGGCATGGTGACTAAGTTGCAATTGCTCCAAAACAATTCATTTTCTCTTCTCCAACCACCCACGTACACAAGGAAATTCAATGAGGCCCATGAAATGATATCAAAGTTCTAGCAAAACTATGAATGTGTGTTGTATTTTTTCTCTTAGAAAATACCAGATATGTGTAACTTTAATTTTTATGGTTTTTTTTAAGATTGAGAAAACTTTTTGTCTGATTTATTTAATTTCAAGTAAGTATGGAAAAATCCAGGACTAGAATGATGCCTTTGCTGTTAGTGTATATTGTTTCCAGAAACCAGTTCTATATCCAAACCATCTTCACACATTTGTTTTCATTATTTATCTTTTCGTTTTTCCCTGAGGATAATCAGATAAATAGTCTCTTTATATTCAATAGATAATACTTCAGAGATAGTACTTTGTTTTCTGGAAGTTTCCAAAAAACAGATTACCTTAAATTGTTTTCACCTGAACATCCTTATGTAGCGTGTACTTAACAACTAAAAGAGTTGAATAATTCTTTGTGCTATGCTGATATATATGCATAGTTATTATTTGTATTTTAAAATTGTTTTTTCGATGAATTGAACATTTTTTTACTCTGGTATTTCTAAGTGTACTGAAGCTTTGTGGATATTAAATATCATACTTGACACAGTTTTCAGGAATAAAAGTAGTGTGACAATTAAGTACTCACATGAGGTCATTTTATTTTTAATTTTTAATCTTTCTAACCTTTTTTTTTTGGAGAGATTTTTGCTATAGGGCACATGTGCTTGCCAGAAAGACAGAGAGAGAGAGAGAGAGACAGAGAGAGACAGACAGACAGACAGAAAGCGAGAAATCACCCTTTAGAGGGGAAGGTCATGCCACAATCCCTTCTCCTCCATTCTCCTCTCGGGATCTTGGGCACACACGCATGTGTGCCTGGTGTGAGTTTAAGCCACCGGGTTCAGGACTTGAACCATGGTTGACTACATGGGAGCCCAGCAACATAGTCATTACACCAACTGCTGTTCCCTTTGATTTTTTTTTTTTTTTTAAGTTTTTGCCATAGGGTTTGTGTGCTCACCAGAGAGAGACAGAGAGGGAAAGTGAGAACTCACTCCCCAGGGAAATGGCCTCGTCACATTCCCTTCTTCATTATCCTCATGGGATTTGGGGTACACATGCACATGATTTTTGAACTGGTGATTTTTGCACTGCACCTGCTGGCCCCCACATGAGATCATTTTAATGCAGTGTTCCTTATATATATTCTGGTGCTGATGTTTTGGGAAAAAGTAAGCTTCCCTCAGAAGCATTTTTTTCATTTATTAAACTACATAAAAAGTAATATATTAGATAATTATTTTATAGTTAAATATTAATGATAAATAAAAATTTGAATAACCATTTATAGGATTACATTACATACAAATTGTAAATAAGAATTTATAGTGACCCTAAATGTCACTTGTCCAGGAATACTTGTCAAAATAATTAAATACAAGGCATGCTTTGGTTATAACATGTAAGTAGCACAGAAAAGTGTTACGTGGAAGAGACACTTGTAGTCATCTTTCTTATTCCAAAGTTTCTTATCTCAAAGGTAACAATCATTCTTACTTAATCCTCTGGAATATATTTCAAAGAGAAGTGGATTTATTTATAGATGCAATTCTTTCTTATTTACAGAAAAGGTACATTGAATAGGCTTTCCTAGTAGCAAATATGACCTAGTTTTTCACTTTGATAGATTTTGGAACTCACAAAGTATGTCATGTCAGGAAGCACGGATGTACCTGGGGTTTGAGAGAGGTAGAAAGGTAAGAGTAAGCAGTAAATTAACAGGGAACAGCAACACCTTGATTTTACTCTGGGCCCCAGTAAAACTAGTTGTCACTTCTGGGACCCAGAGAAAAACTCCTACTATTACTTCATTTGTTTTCAAAATTAATCACTGTACTTAGCAGAAGAAACATTTCTTTACAAGTATCTCTCTCTCTCTCTTTTGGTTTTGCAGTTAATTCAACGAAAATATTCTTTGCAAATTATTTTCATTCACATAAATTTTGCTAATTTTACCTGGCTGAGTTGAAAGGTATTTCCTTAAGGAAGTCTTCTTCCTCCCGTGTATGTACACTCCTTGGTATGCTCAGGGTATTTAGGATCTTGTGGAACTTATTACACTCTGTCCAGTATAAGAGTTTGGTCTTTATGAGCTCAAATAATTAATGAAACTTTCTAGTAGTTTCACATTTATGGAGTAGGTACTAAAGGGAGACTAAACCATAGTTTTGTTTTTGTAATTGGAAACTTTCAGATAATTCATAATTGTTCTGTACCTCCATGACATGTGTTTCAAATTACATTTTCAATATTTATTGATCAAATTAATTGAAACGGAAACACTGTAAGTATTAATAGCAGCTATCAATCAATGATCATATTTCAAAGGAAATATCAATGTTATAATAATAATCTATAGTTACATGATTTTACTGAAACCTCAAACTCTAGTAAGACCCTTTCCTACTATTATTTCTCATTCAGCTTGTTTGCCCTCGCTTTTTTTTTCTCCTCTCCTACTTACTCTGTCCTGTCCTTTTCATCTTTAATGATCTGTTTCTTATGTCTTTTTCATTTCTTTATTTTTTCCTTGCATTTTTAAATAATTATTTTTTATTATTACACTTTATTTATTTCAGTTTGACCAGGGAGGGACAGAGTAAGAGAGAAAGAGAGAGAAAGTAAGAAAGTAAACCACCAGGTCCGGGACTCGAAGCATGGTCCCCAGTGTGGGAATACCAGTGCTCTTAACCACCATGCCACCTGCTGGCCTCCTCATTTCTTTAATTATTTGTTTCTTATGTTTCTCTTTTCTTTTTTTCTACCTATTTCTACCTAAATTTTTCTCTTCTGAAATCTCATGCAACACACATGAACATATACATACACACACACACACACACACACACACACAAATCGTTTTACATATTTGATCTTCCCTTACCGGGATGAAGATGTAGGCTCAGTAGTTTGTCTTTGCACACGTGCATGTTTAATTAAATGTTCTTTTAAAGCAGTTTGGACCTCTGCTGGGATGTCAGGGGAAGTGTGGCTGATTTTTATTGCAGGTTCAAGAGCTTTTGGGGCTGGCGTTCCATTTTCTTTAACTTCTTTTTTCTCTTCGGTCTCAAACACTTCAGTAGGAGCACTTGAAATGCTCTGTGGAAGGGCACTGACGTTGGAAGTGACAGGTTTGCTTTTCCAGCATGGCCAGCACAACTTCCAGAAGACAAAAAGTGAGACCATTAACAAGGCTAGGCCACAAAAGCTGACGACGACTGCTAACAGGCTGACGGAAATATCTGGAAAAAATTACATTGTAAAGAAATATTAGTATTGTACCTAATAAAACAGAAGTCATGAGATAGCTCTATGTTATAATAATGAATAGAGTGCAAAAATTAACTTCTGAGTTATCTTTTTAGGGAGGAAAGACTAATAATCACGGGTGGTATAGAAATTATAAAAAGAGATATTTCAAAGGGCCCATCTTAGAGATAATGTCCAAATTTGGATAGAAAAAGCATGGCATATACATTATCATTCACAAGGGGTTCCGCTTTTGCAAATGAAGGTTGATATCCTGCAACTGTCATGAGAAGCAACCCTGAAACTTCACACGAGAAATGCTTCTGTTTGCTTCATCTTTGACATAAAGCTGTGACCTTCTTATTTCCTACACTGGAAATACTGTTACATTTGTAAACTGTTTTCTATAGTGTAAATGAAAATAACACATACTAATAGAGAACTAATATGCTGCTAGTTATGCTTTCAAATTCCATAGGTCCTTTCCGATAATGTTGCATGTTCCTAATTCCTTAAGTAGTGAATGAATTGTGCTATGGTCTGAATATTATTGCTCCCACCAAAGTCATATGTTGAAATTCTAACCCATAAGGTGATGTAGTATTAGGATGTGGGGGAGGTGTCTAGGGAGGTGATTAAATCATGAGGGTGTAGTTTTCATGGATGAGATTAGTATCCTTGCAAAATAGGCCCAAGGGAGCTCTTTTGCCCTTCCACGTGTGAAGACACAGCAAGAGGCACCATCTGTGCCCCAGGAAGTGGGTCCTTACCAGATACTGTATCTGCCCATGTCTTCATCTTGCATTTCCTAACATCCAGACTCTGAGAAATAAATTTGCTTTGTATGAGCTACTCAATTTGTTGTAGCTCAGAACAGACTGAGACAAATTGCTACCTAGGCATCTTTAAAATATCCTGATATAAAAATAATTATAGACTCTCTTGACTTAACAGTGGTTCTTACCATTTTTTTTGACTGCACAGTATTGTGAAAGTGATACACATCCAGTCAAAATCATCCTTTGCATACTCGTAGAACTGTTCTGTTTTTTAAGATTAATATGATAGTCAACAAATACATGAGATATTCAATACTTCATTGTAAAATAGGCTTTGTGTTAGATGATTTTGCCCAGCTGTAGGGTAATATAAGTGTTCTGAGCTAAGGTAGGCTAGGCTAAGCTATGATGTTCAACAGGTTTGGCATATTAAATCTATTTTAGACTTAAAATAGTTTCAACTTAAAATGAGTTTATCTGGACCTAACCCTATCCTAAGTTGAGGAACAATATTAATACATGTTTGTACAATATTAATACATGTTAACTACATAAAATAATCTTGAAGGCACATGGTTAAAAGTTCATAAAATTGAGTAAATAAAGAGCCAGCAGAAGGCATAGTGGTTAAGGAGCTAGACTCCCACATGGCTGTCCATGGTTTGAATCCTGGACTTGGTGACTTGAAAATCACGCTGATGAGTATGTGTGTGTGCCCAAAATCCTGAGAGGAAAATGGCGGAGAAGGAATTGCAATATTGCCATCCCCCCCTTGGAGGGGAAGGTAATTTCTCACTTTTCCTTTCTCTGTCTCTCTCTGTCAAGCACATGCATCTTATGGCAAAAACCTATTTTAAAAAAAAGGAACAAATAAATGTGAGAGAAATGACAAATTCCCTATACAGAAGAATTCCAAACAATGTATATAGATATTCCACCTTCAAGAAAGTGGGACACAATTGCTCATTTCTTAAACATGTGCCATGCAGAGTGTAGAGCATATGGTGGCTTATTTCCAAAGAGCACTGTATGGAAAGTGGTAACTTTATCATGGAGAAAACTTAAAAACACTGACCTTAATGAACATGTTGATAGCATGTACCCTTGATATGATGTTGTGAAGATGGTATTTTACCACCTCCCCCAAATCCATAACCTGAGTCTAATCATATGAAAAACAACAGGCAATTTCCACGACCTGTATGTTCTACAAAACACCTGACCAGTACTCCTCAAAACTGGCAAGGCCATCAAATACAAGGAAAGTCTAATGCACTGTCAGATCCCAGAAATGTCTAAGGAAACACGACAACTATTGATAAATGCAATGTGGTTTCCTGGATGGGATCCTAGAATAGAAAATGGACATTAGATAAAAACTAAGGAAATCTGAATAAAGTATGGGATTCAGCTAATAATGTATCAAAACTGGTTCATTAATTACAGCAAATGTACCATACCAGTGTAGTATGCAAATATTAGGAGAAACAGTGTATTGAGTATAAAAGGGCTCTGTACTATCTTACTCTTTTTAAAAAAATAAATCTTAAAGTATTCCACAAATCTTTTTTAAAAAAGTTAATGTTTCTTTATTATTTTTTCCTTTTTTGGGGAGAGGTTTTTTTTTTTTTTTTTTTGTTTGTTTTTTTGTTTTTTTT